ACCCTATACCCTGGATTTATCTGTCATTGCTTTCTCTTTTTTTCTTGAATCTCAGGATGGAATGATATTATGTTCCCAAACACCTCTTCATAAGCTCTCAACTGGTTTTCCTGGGTGCCAACCCATCTCAGGATCTGTCATTCCAAACTGCAGTGCTGTTCCTATCATCCCTCATCTACTAATCCCCTCCATTTATAGAATCTTTCTCTCACATTCCCATTTCATCTCAGTCATGCTGCCGCCTGTGTGTGTGTTACCTGCACTGTGATAAGTGTAATGGACGATGGGTGTCATTTGTCACTGTTCTCCTCTGAGTGACACACACGCACGTGTACACACACACACACACACACACACACACACACACACAAAGGCAGATGCGAAGATGACTGTGAGATTCCTCTGATGTCCAGAACACTGGAGACCACAAACAACAATGGACTGTGGGGTAGCTACTCCAGACTATTGTACGAGAACTCATTCTTCCTTACAAGCGCTTCAGACTTTACTTTTGAAGGGTCTTTTTTCATGCTGTGAAAGTCTGATGTTCTCTCCGAATGTCTTAATTTTTTTAACATTTGTTCTGCATTGCTGTGATCTGATTTAATGGGACTTTTGAAAAGCTTTTGTTTAGTGAAATGCAACATAACATAACCTTTTGTGTTGGCCTATGTTTGTGTCAAAACAGTTGGAATCTTTGAAGAAAAAAAATATTGCTTATGATTTTAAGATGTGCATGCATTGGGGGAAAAAATCCCAAATTAGATCTCTTTAAAATCTTGATTGTTTCTTATTGACATAATTAATTTAGACAGATTCATTGTCAAACAGGTCTCCTGATTTTTTTTTTCTGAGAAAAAGACCACAGGAAGAAAAGACCATATCATGAAAAATGCATCTCCTGTAGAGTTTCTAAAGAGATTTTAATATTATCTGAGACTGTGTTTATATTTGCCAAAACACTGCAATCTGAAGTCAGAAATTTCATTAAGAATTCAAACATATTTTTAAACCAAATTATCTGCCATATTAATTTTAGAGTGCTACATTATAATTTTATGTAACAAAAATTTCAATAGATTCTGTTTTTATTTTCCCTAAATTAAAAGGAGAAACATCTGAGACAGAATTGACAAAACATGACATACTAAGAACAAACGACCAAAGTGACCATATAATGGATGGTCCCCAAAACTGTTTGGTTACAAACATTTTTTCTAAATATCAGGTTTGGAACAACAAGAGGGTGAGAAATTAATTTTTAGTTTTGGGTGAACTACCCCTTTAAATCTTGTGAGCCATGATAGAGATCTCTGAGCAATAAAATAGATTGTGATCATGACTTGGGCACTAAATGGCATTTGGACATTGATGAACCAGAAGATATTTATTATATGATTGATTTGTATTACCATAGTATCTTCATGAATCTGTTACACACTGGTGTATATCAGAGGAATTTGTTCTTGAGAGGTCATAACCCGTCCTCTGAGATCACCTTTTCCTCTGTCCAAAAGTGTTTTTTCAACCACTCCTTAGTCACAGCCCCTTCAAACACTTTAGTTTAGGATCCAGGACAAAAAGCCTAGGTTTGCTTTAAACAAGAGTTACGTCTTTGATGTTGACCATGCAGGCTGCAGTTTGATGAAATATTGATAGCAATTCTCCAATTGATAGCTGCTCCAGAGGGATGTTAGTTCGCCTTTCAGCGAGAGAAGTTGCTGTAGAGGACTTGCACACTACAGTGTGAGACATGTGATTCATTAAGTATCACAGCATCAGAGCACGTGTCTGTTATTGGACCTAATCACTCAACTGATCAACACAATCTAGTACTGGCTATTGTGATCAAACAGAGGACACCCCCCACCCACAAATCAACCCACACATAGTAAACTTTTGAAAATAAACTGGACAAACATGAATGAAAAGGACCTATCAAACATCTATGATTCTTTCCTTGCTTTGTGCTTTTTCTACTTTAATGTGTGTAAAATGTGACAAACATATCCAGGTACACTGAGTGTTGTGTATCTTAGATTATAGAAGTAGGCATGCACAATATAGCAGTGCCATGTCAGCGAATATTAAATATTTTATTTATCATGTTAATTTCCCATTACCTCTGCCGTCATCTAACACTCGCTTAAAGTTAATCTTTTAAAACACTAATAATTTAATAACACTGCTAAATGTAATCTTTAGCAAATCTCAAATGTTTTCATATTGTGATGCCTAAACTTGTAGCATTTAAAAATCAGCCATTTATTGCCACAACATGTAAATTAATTATTGGCTTACTGTTATCAGTCAGAATTATCATATAGTTAGATCCTTATATAAAAGAACAAAGTTGGTGTGAAGTTGTTTTGAAAGTTGTTTTGGAAAGTAGTTTAAAGTTGTTTTGAAAAGTAGTTTTTAGTAATTTATTGTGAGAACTTTCCATACTGTCCAATCCCACATTAAATTAATAATTACAAAATTAATAAATATTAGAAATTAATAATCTTTATGTTCCAAATTATATATTCTATTTTAAAGTGACAGAAGATGCTAGTGAGAATGAAATTAGCACTCTGTGACCCAATATTCAAATATTTCCTATCAGTACGAGCGTGAAATAAGATTTCCAGTGGTGGCTCATAAAGTTTGATTTGAGTTGGTGGTAGAAGTGACCCACATTCTTGTGGTGACAAAAAAAAAAGTCCAGGCATGAAATACACTTATATAAAATCAGAATATTGATAACTGCCTTGAGTGTTTTTTTGGGGGGTTTTTTTGTCTGTAGGACACTATAGCCAAAATACTCATATCAGTACAGCAGTACAGAAGAAAAAATGACAAAAAGGGATTAAATTGTGCACGCTTGCATGCACTGTGCTCATACATAGAGATATTAATAACCTCTGTGGGCTATTGCATCAATGTAACGTGAAAGAAAGTGAGAAAGCGATGACACAAAAGAAAAATAAAGTGAGTCTGAGACTAAAATGCATGAATAAAAGAAGAAGCTGAGTGGAACCAGGGGCGCATAAAGGTCTCACACTTTAGCAAAATTAGCACGCTTTTCCACTGCCGCCCATTAGATAATCAAATTCATGCCACACAGGGCTCAGCAACCCCTCCTTTTTAATTTCTCCCCTCTAATCCCTGTCGATAAGACACAACTCACATACCACTTTCATTATGCTGTCATTTCAGAACTGGCATAGAACCCTCCTCGGGATACAATCAGTCAGAAAATTACTTAACTAGCTGAAGTGGATACAGTTTTGCGTTTATTATTTTTCACAGCCTCAAAATAATCTCACAAATATCCTTTTTTGATTTTAGGGCAGGGTGAGGGGCAGAGTGCGCACTCATTATCAGCCCAACACACCATTAGATTATATTCACAGACACCAGAAACCTCCAGCAGTGAGACAGAGATATCCCAATATTGTGAGAAGTGAAGAAAAGGACATCTCCACCAACTGCACTAAAAGAATGCATCTTCTCCACTTGTGCTGGCTGTTTTAGGTACAAGAGCAAAGCCTTCTCTTCTTTAGCCTTTGAGCATACAGCAGTGGATTAGTTCTCAATAGTCTCTCCTTTGTGGAGTGTTTACTGGGCTCAAGATCGAACACTTCAAGATGAGAAATCTCAATGAGTCTTTTACAAAAAACAACAACAACGCAAACAAGCAACAGTATGAGTTAAATCGCTGAATACCAATTCATGAATGACAGGACTGGTGAAAGCTGAAAAACCTGTCAAGTGATGTGATGTGTAATAAATCTTCATAAGCACAGGAAATAATTATGAATTGAGGTTTCTGTAATATTTGTACAGTACATATGCTTAGCCACTTTGTTCTTTGTTCTTAAATGCAGCCAGTCAGACTTCTTATTACAAGTTGTTTTGAGAGTGTCGGTTTGACGAAATAGTTTGGTGTAATCATTTACTTTTTTTTCTTTCTTTTTTTTTTAGTTTTGAAAAACTTTTGTCCATTCATGTTGCGCATGCAGAAACATTCCAAAAAATAAAATACCGTAAATTATATCATAGAGAAGACTTCTGCAGACTGTTGTGAAGTCTTTTGGGATTTTTTTCCCCCCCAAGCCATCATGAATACAAAAGGTTTATAAGAACTTGGTATATATTTGGTATATATTTAACTTGGTACATGTGTTTTGAAAGGTTAGATTAAAAAAAAAATAAAATCCTTTATCATGGACAATTATGTCATTACACCTTGATTGTTCGAGAAGCTGCTTTGTTTGCCAGATTCATACAGAAAAGTGTGCGCAATCTTCAAAAGAGAATCACCATGTGTTTTTCCCATACACTGCATGGTAAAAAGATTATTATTGTATGTACATAGGTCTCAGGGTGTGCACAGTGTCAATGTGAGTCAGTTGTCATGAATTCTTGTTTAATTGGGTGAGATCAGGGGCTCAAAGCGGGCCAAGGAGGGACCTGTGCCCCTTTCTTTCTCCTCAAGAACCGCTTTGGCACCACTGCTGTTTTTGATGTGTGCTTTGGCTCTTCGAGGCCGACTTTGGAATATGTTCTTGGGAGACCAACGGTTACTTGCCCCCAGGCAAAATCTCAATCCCCGGGATCCGGCTCCTCTTTGATGGAATACTTTCGGGAGCAGCTAACCACCCCCAATCCCTGCTCTGACTTACCCCTCCTCTCGTTTCTCCTCTCCTCTGTGGACCCTCTCTTTCTCATCCATCTCTCTAAGAGAGATTTACAAAGAGTACTGACTGACTGCCTACATGTCTATATCAGTTTCTCCATCCACTTCAGCAGAATGGATGATAGCAAGTCAACAACATAGAAACACGCACACTGTAGCTTATTGTGAAGTGACCATTTCGTTTTTCCTCATTAAACATCACTGCACCGTCTCAAGAAGGAGCGCTGGGATAAGGCAAGGAGAGAGGGAGGGAACAGGGGGCAGAAGGAAAAAGAGGGGAGGTAGTGTGCCTGCTCTCCGAAAGGGAGGAGTCAGGCACAGGGACAGGGCAGCTGGAGCTCCACTTCAAATCTTCTTTACCCGAGAAACTCTGCATTACAGTCTTTGTGATAAACATTTAGGAGTTTCACGAGTCGCTTTACTTTTGTGTTTAGGCTTTAGGTATGTAGACAAAGACTGGGCGCTAGTTCAGTGCTGGGCTGCCCCTGCCAAGAGCACGTAGGAAAAAAAGAAAAAAGAAAACGAAGACGAGTGAAAAAAGAAAAGTCCGCAGAGCAGTTTTGGAGTTTAAAGTGAAGAAGCTTAGAGTGTCTGTCTGCAACTAGCATCTGCACGCGAGCGAGAAGAAAGTCTGTGAGGACAGGACAGAAAAGTTTCGCAACTGAACGAGTAAGTGCAAGAAATGTGCAGTTTTTCCGAGCCTCTTTGGTTCCATGAAAGTTTTGCAAAAAGAAAAAGAAGGGGAAGAGTCGTGTAAAACGTGAAATGCGATACTCTTGCCAGTCTGGTGCAAAAATATTACATGAAATCAACAGGAGTAGCGAAATAAAAGAGCGTTTATTGTCAGCGTTGGGCTGAATTTTCTGCTTCACAGAAAGTTCGGCAGAGTCGTTTTGCAAACTTTGGGCTCTCATTGTCTAACTCGCGGCCCCTATTGGTCTGTTAAAATGTTTTGAAAGTGTCCCAATGCTTTATGCTTGTTACACTGATAATTATCTGTAAATAATAAGAACCATCACAATGCAGCAGGTTTCAGTGCAGTGTCTCCTTGCGACAGTTTAAATATTTCCAAATGCTTATGTTTTTCTTGGAAATAGTCCAGCAGTAAAATTGGGGGTCCCTCATCATATTGCAGCGTTTTCCCTCACCATAATACCATAATTTAAAAATATTTAAGAAATCTATGAAATCTTACGCATAGAAAGTAAAACGACAGGATGTTTGTATTATTATTATTATTATTATGGAGGTGGGGGGAGTACAACAAAAAAACTATGTTAGATAAATCTAAATTGGCATATTTAATGTAGGCTAATAGACGCAGCAAACATTTTAAAACAATTATGCGCGATGGTCCTAATATGAAAAATATTTTATCTATTTAGGCAGAGTAAGTGTAGCCTACGTATAATTGAACACAGAAAATTGCAAACTGACGTTTATTTGCAACATTAGTTTTGCAAGTAAAATCAAAGTTACAGCCTGCAGAAATACTGTAAATATATGGCACTTTTTCCACACACTTTGAATTCAATCACTGCTTATGAAAACTGTTAACATCGAGTAGAAATTATTGTGACAATTTAATAGATGGAAACAAACATTTTACGATAATGATGTAAACATTTTAACAGTGTGTGATTATTACGAATTTGTCCGTTGTCGGCTCTCTAGGAGGGAAAAACGCAAGAATAATAGCCTAAGTGAAATAATTGCATCTGACTCTGTTTCTATTATAATAGCCTAATGCTTATTAACATATTTTATTAGTGGAAATGATCGTCATTTACATTTTGAATGTGGTGTAAAGTTATTGTGTCACAGCACTTGTGTAGATGGACTTTTCCAAACTTTCCAAACACACGGCAGCCCAGAAAAGACTCACAGCTTGTAGCTTGGCGATTTAAGAACAACCGTGTCCCGCCAAACCACTCCTGACACCTGCGCGCGATTAACTGACGACCTGTAATCTCATATTTAAATTCAAAATTCACATTTCAATTAGATGTTTTTAAATTAAGTTTTTTTTTGTGTGCAAGTTTGTACTGATCAACAGTAATGAACTTAGGCCTATATTAACAGGCATATTGGTTTGTAGAGCAGCTTGTGATGTTACACATTTTAATTGTAATTTATTATAAGCCCAATAAAAGTAAACGGGGCCTGCTCGTTTTGCCTATAATATTGTATGTTTGAGGTTTGCTTTCCTTTTCTTTTCTCTCTCTTTTTTATCTTTATTGCATTTGCTTTTTGCATGCATTTTACGAGAATCGTTTTCCAGTAAATTGTCTATAGCCTACTGAAATCTGTATTATAGCTACGAACCCAGGGCTTAATTCAGCGCACATTAAATGCTAAATGTGTTTGTGTGTCAAATTTTCTCATACAATTAAATGCAATTAATAATTTATTATATTAGGCCTATATTCTTTGTAATATGTCGGTTTTTATCCGGTGACCTATTAATTTGCACGTATGAACCTTTTTGAGGTTAAAAGGAATATATGTATTTTAATCTCTCAAATTGAAAGGCCATAACAGAGATGCATGCATTTTAATGCCTTAATGTTGTTATGAAATAAACAGTTCATTTGAGCTCTTAAATTTGAGCTCTGTGATGATAAAGTGTTCTCTGATAAGACAGACCTCAGTGTGATTAGAAAAAAAAAATCACAGCATGAGTTTTTGAGTCTGTGTTTATCTCTTGTTTCTATCTTGCCTTTTGGGAACAAATTTGTACATTGTTGGTTTTGCTTTAAAAAGGAAATTAAATTGTTTAAAAAGTAAGTGATATACTAGATTCTCTAAATTGAGCTTTGCAAGTAACCTGAATTTAAATGATTATGATTACATTTGCTCAGCATGCAGCTCAGACTTTATCAAATTTTTATTATTTTTATAACATCATCAAACAATGATTCCATAAATGTGCCTGAATGAAACGCTCATTTGCAATGAAAAAAAAAAAAAAACACTCGCTGCATCATGAAATATTCAGTCACTCATGTGTGGACCAGAAAACAAAACAAACAAACAAACAAACACCAAACAAAACAAAACAAAACACAAAACAAAAAAAACAGGAGTTTAATATCATTACTTTCAGTTCAGAGTCACTCATCAAACAGGGATTTATCACATTTCATATATGCATGGCTGCATTGCAGAACAAAATGTAATTTTTGCAGGTCACTTTTGCTAGCCATACTGCCATACTGAGCACGCTATGTCACCAGCTAATATTAACAAGCAGAGATGACATGCGATTATCCTCAATGTCATCCCACCCTCTCCTTCCACCCACCGTATGTGCATAAAACGCTCAGATTAGGCCTGCCATTGGAAAGGAATGCCCGTACCCTTCACCAGGTTGCTTTAGCATCCTAAAGAAGTTCTACCTGTCTTTAAGTGCATGTGGGAATAAGATGACTAACAGGCGGCATTGAGATGCTAATGTGGGTTTGAATAGCACTGTGCTTATTGTCCAAACCAATAAGGAACAAATGGATGAGAAATTTGTGTCTCTGCGAGGCCGATAGCTGGTTGTGATCCTGGAAGGATCCCAGATGTGTGTGTTTTTTTTTAATATCCAGTGTATTTGGCCATGTTTAGCATTTTTGACCCTAACAAGCAGCCCCTGATCGAAAATTGCCCGGATACCTTTGTTGTGTGGTGCTGTGGCGCATTGCTTCCACTCACTTCTGTCAACAAGCCAGGACTTCCAACTGAAACCTCTTACTTAGATAATCCTCAACTTTGATATGTTCGACATCAAATGAAAAGGGCACAAAGAGTGAGAAAGAGGAAAGGGAAACAAGTGAAAGTGAGTAATTGAGAAAAAGAAGCAGTGCTCTTGAGCTGTGGGCCGCATCAGATGAGAAGTTGAGTGTTCGTCTGTGTTTGTGTCTCAGTGGAGGGGGTCTCTAGCTTTGTAGGGGGGCATGCTCTCAAGCTCTCTCTCTCCTTTTCTTTTTACCCATAATCCCTAGACCCAGTCATCCTTTCAGGGCATTCCTCAGATCTGCCTCTATGTCAGGACGACCCCTTCCTTCTCTTCTTTCTGTTGCCCTTTCTCTCTTTCTTTTTGCTTTATCTCCTTTTACATTTTATCTTCACAATTCTTTTTTCTTTCTTTTTATATATTTATATATATATAGTGGCCCCAAACAATATATGGACATGTTTGGGCACTTATGCCAGACTTGGATGAAGAAAATGTATGGATTTTATTGTTTAATATACAAAATGTCACAACAGGACTTTTCTCAGAAGTAACTTTACTTTTCAGAGTAGATTTTTGTATCCCAGCTGGTTTTTATTCATATGAAGTAATTTCTCCTCAATTTCAAACAGTTGCCCTTTAAAAAAAAAAAAAAACCTGTGTTGTTCCTTCTCAATTTTTTGTTATTAATTTTGACTTGTGTTTGCCCCTTCCATTGGTTGTACTCCACAGCGGTAACTTGTGAGTAAACCAGTCCATTCACATACAGCCTACATACAGTCACAGGAAATGAGCAGGTTTTTACAAAAGTATGAGAGTGACAGTTTGTTTTCACTGGTGGGGCTAGCTGCTGGAAACTCAAAATTGACCTGCCAATTAACCTGGCCATTTACCTTTTTTAAAAAGAAGCATTAGAGGTAAAAAAATAAGTTAATTCACCAGAAAAAGAGAAGTTTTCAAGAAATGATTCACTGTCCTGGTTGTGAAAACCGTCTGTAAACCTGTGAGAAGTGTGGCAACGAGAACTAAGTATTTCCCCATTTGATGGCAGGGTGTGTTAAGGACTTGTGATGGAGTGGTTATGTGTTGTTATAATTGCACAGGTATGTTGGTTTTGATGTGAGGTATTTTGAACAAATGTGAAAACGCTGCAAATAGAGGGGGCACGCACATAGAGGGGACAGATAACCTGCTCCTTCCATGTGATTGATGTCTCTTGTTATCTGCGCTGCTATTCACTAGAGTGTCAGGCATCTTTTAGAGATGAAGAATTGAAGTTCTCTAACATTCTATAAAACTGAACTTTCATTCTGTCAATATTTTAGATTATGCTAACGGATACAGTTAAGATTTTAAGCATTTCATAAACAAACATACAAACAAATAAAAAATAGATTAATAAAGATAAAATGTAATACAATAAGTTAATTTAAACCATTTAAACTATATAACTGAAGTATAACATTTGATAAAATAATACAATTAAATAACACAGTCATAAAAAAAGAAATAAAAGGTTAAAGGCAAAACAATAAAATATAAACCATTATTTATTTATTTATTTTAAATATTTGAATCATCCACATTTTAGTGACTTAACCTTTAACCCTAAGGTCAGGGAAACAAAGCCAGGGGAATTGCTGAATAACAGATCCGTATGTAAAAAGTACTGAGGCATGTGTTCTCTCTAAATCCCCAAGTATAACTCCTCTCATTTGCCTGTTCTTCCCCATGTGTTTTGTGAGTACTTTAAAAGTAAATGTCAAAGCCCTTGCCTCCCCGGGCCTTGGGGAGTCCCTATTTACAAAAACAAAAGAGGAGACTCAACTATATGAGCAAATTTCAGGCATGCCTGAAAGACTACCCCATTGTCATCACAGCATCTAAAGACTAATCGCTTTTTCTCATGCAAAGTGTGCTGGTTTTAAGGGCCCGGGTATAGATGAAG